AAAAAAATTTTTTTTTTTATTTTTTATTTTTTTGCGCCTGTCTGAGAGGAGGTGAAAGCTGTGGATGAATAGTGTTGGAATGCAGCCAAAAGTCTACGTGGGCGTCAGGAGGAGTGGAAGTGGGGCCCCCCGTGGGACCTGTAATGTGGCCCCTGCCGCTGGGGACCCGCTGCGCGAGGACGCGACGGGGTCACGCGGGGAATTAAATGAATATCCGCTCTGAGAGATGATTTATTTCCCCCCTTTTCCAAGTTATTTTATTTATTTTCTTTGACAAAACACGGGCTGGTGTTTAAAACTCACTGAGCTGAAATGTTTTAGAGATTTGTAGAGAAATCATAAAAAATGTTGGCGCGCCAGGGTCATTCGGACAAACTGATCCTGCGCGTAATTTTGGTTCTTCTTGCTTTAAAAGTCGGACTTTGTGTTTGGTTTCCCCTCTCCCTGCAGATCCATGATGTTGACGAGGCTGTTCAGTGACCCCTCCCTGCTCCCAGAGGTGCAGAAGTTCTCGGCCTGGGCGGAGGACAGCGACGGAGAGGATCACAAACTGAAGGAGGAGGACCAGGACGCGCAGGACGACGTGGACGCCTCGGACCTGAGGGGGGGCAGCCGAACGCACTCCGAGCACGCGGGGGATGACGACGAGGACGACGAGGTGGAGGAGGAGGACGACGGGGAGGACACGGAGGGGGACAGGCCCAAGAAAAGGGGCCCCAAGAAGCGCAAGATGACCCAGGCCCGGATCGAGCGCTCCAGGCTGCGGCGGATCAAGGCCAACGCCAGGGAGCGGACCCGCATGCACGACCTGAACTCTGCGCTCGACAATCTGCGGAAAGTCGTGCCCTGCTACTCCAAGACGCAAAAACTGTCCAAAATCGAGACCCTGCGTTTGGCCAAGAACTACATCTGGGCCCTGTCGGAGATCCTGCGCTCCGGGAAGAGGCCCGACCTCGTGTCCTACGTGCAGACTCTGTGCAAGGGTCTCTCCCAGCCCACCACCAACCTGGTGGCGGGATGCCTGCAGCTCAACTCGCGCAACTTCCTGACCGAGCAGCAGTGCCAGGAGGGGGGCAGGTACGGCTCGGGCTCCTTCTCCATGCATTCCTACCCGTACCAGTGCGCGCGCCTGCCCAGCCCCCACTGCCAGCCGGGCTCGAACTCGCTGAGGACGCACGGTTACTGCTCGGCCTACGACTCCCTGTACGGGGGGAGCGGCTCCCCGGAGTACAACAGCCCCGAGTACGAGGGGCCCGTCAGCCCCCCGCTGTGCGTCAACGGCAACTTCTCCCTGAAGCACCAAGGCTCCGCGTCCCCGGACCACGACAAGGGCTACCCTTACTCTATGCAYTACTCCGGCCTGCCCGGCTCCAGGCCCGCCGGGGCCCACAACCTGGTGTTCGGCTCCTCTGGGGCCCGGAGCGGCATTCACTCTGAAAACGTCCTGCCTTACCACGACATGCACTTACACCACGAGCGCGCCCCCGTGTACGACGAACTGAACGCGTTTTTTCACAGTTAAACAATCGGTCACGTGGAATCACCAGGATCGAATGGCATTCTGGGAACTCTCATCAGTGATCAATGTTTTTATTTTATTTTATTGTTTTGTTTCATTTTTTGTTTCCTTTTATTTGTTTTTGTAGTTAAGGTTCAGGAGGTTTAAAAATACCCCCCAAAAAACCTGTTTTTGCGCAATAAACGCAGCTCCATCCTCTCCAGGTGGCGCAAATGTTGGAACAAAATCACAACAAAGAGGACAAAGAATCTTTAAAAGTGTTAATGTTTATGTGTGGTTTGTGTTTGTGGTGCTTGTTTCTGCTCTGATGACAGAACATCAGAGTTTACACACTTTTTGTTTTCACACACACACACACACACACACACACACACACACACACACACCACTGCGTCTCTGGCTGCAGAGCGACAAACTAAAGGATTTCTGAAGGGAACTTTAAAACTATGTCACTCTGTAAGATGCAATATTCAGATGTGGAGAATCTAAAAAAAGAAAAAATGATGCTGAAAGAAAAACTGAAGTCAGAAAATCTTGTTTTTTTTACTTTTATTATTTTATTTCTGCCAGTTAATTTAGCATCTATGCAAAACCAGAGGAGGTCACTTTGGGAGGCCCAGAAAGGGCACACACACACACACACACACACAACTACACACG